CAGTACGCGTTGCCCGCCCTGTGCCGTGCGCATCGAGAGACGTGAAGAGCCAGCTGGAAGAAATGGTTTGGCAGGCATCATCGCCATCCTTGGGTGACGAGCCACCAGATTGGTGCCATCCACTGGCGCTGGGCACAAAGTCTGATGGAGGAGTGCGTATATGAGTTGGCCTCACCAACCTCAACAAGGTTGTAAAAAGGCCTCTGCACCCACTCTATACTCCAAGAGAGGCCGTCTCTGGTATCCCCGTGAACGCGAAGATGTTCTCCACGCTGGATGCCAAGTCATGATACTGACAGCTCCCTCTTCAAGAAAGCAGCCAACACCTCGAACGTTCATCATCCCCTGGGGGCGCTTAAGGTTCCTCCGAGCGCCCATGGGCCTGGTCTCAACAGGGGACGAGTACTGCCGAAGTGGAGATCAGGCTCTCCAGGGTCTGGACCACATCGTCAAGGTGGTGGACGACATACTTGTCTACAATGAGGCAATCGAAGACCACGCAGACTGTTTACGAGCTGTTCTCACACAATGCCGCCAACATGGCATCACGATCAACGGGAAAAAGTTCTGGTGCGCACAGGAAGAAGTCTTCCTCTGTGGCTTCAGTATATCTTCAGCCGGGAAGGAGATCAACTCGGTCAAGATCACAGCCATCACCAACTTCGCAACGCCACCCGACATCACCGAGCTGAAGTATTTCATGGGCCATGTTCAGCAGTTCGGGGGCTTCTCCACCGATATATCATCCGCTGCAGACGCACTTCGTGGTTTACTGAAACCTGGCAACGCTTTCGTGTGGACACCGGATCACCAAACAGCCTTCAACGACGTCAAGAAGGTTCTGGCGTCACCGCCTGTACTGGCTCATTACGATCCGCATCTTCCGACGGTTTTTCAGACCGACGCTGCCCGTCTGAAAGGGCTCGGATACGTCCTGCTACGACAGCACGGTGATAGCTGGCACGTAGTCCAATGTAGGTCCAGGTTTCTCTCTGACACCTGAAGAAGTGCCGCATCTTTTTGCAGGGCCTGCAGCACTTCAGTCATCATCGACCACCGGCCCTCGATACCGATATTGAACGATTACACTCTGGACGCCGTCGAAAACCCACGTATCCAACGTGTAAGGGAGAAGACCAGTCTCTACAACTTCACAGCCCTCTGGCAAAAAGGCAAAGACCGTGCCATCCCCGATGCACCGTCACGTGCTCCTGCTGAAGAACCGACGCCTGAGGACAACCAGTCGTCCAGTCTGTAGACCACCATGTCCATCGCTCGTGCATCGTCACCATCAGTAAGGTGTTGACCCAACAAGCGCCCAGCACATCTCCCAGACCCACGATTCGGTTGATCTCAAGAGGACAGCACAAGCCGATGAAACCTGCCAGCAACTTCTGGTTCCTGTATCCCATGGTTTCCCATCTTCCAATGAGATGCTACCACGTTCCTGAACTCCCATTTTGGAACGTTCGCCACGAACTTTCGTCCCACGACGGCCTAGTTCTGAAAGGCTGCCGTATCCTCATTCCGCGTGGTTTCCGGAAGGTCACCGTGAAAGCACTTCACGACGCTCATCAGGGGATCGAGCGCACCAAACGACGAGCACGCCAAACTGTCTGGTGGCCCGGCATGAACAGCGACATCGCCAATACTGTGGGCAACTGCAGTACCTGCCAAGAGCTCCATCCAAGTCCGCTTCAGAGATCGATGGCCACAGACCCGCCGCCATCGAGGATCTTTGAAGATGTCTCTTCGTCTTCGTCGGTCTTGGAGTCCCCGTCAGACTGAGGACAGATGGAGGACCTCAGCACAGGAGCCGCGAAGTCACCAACTGCCTGAAGCGTTGGGGAGTACTGCATGTCATGCCGACTCCGTATTACCTACAATCCAATGGACATGCGGAGACTGCAGTGAAGGCCATGAAGCACGTGGTCTCCAAGACGGTGACTGTGGCTCTACCGACAACGACGACTTCTACCGAAGACTCCTGGAACTGCGACACATGCCTCGAGCCGAAGGACGTTCTCTGGCTCAAGTGGTCTTCGGCTATCCTACCCGCTCCTGTGTTCCCGCTCATCACAGCACCTTTGCTGCTGAGTGGCTGGAGCAAGCAGAGGAATGTGACTCCAGGGCAGCAGCGTCTCTCCGCCGTGCACAACAGCACTACAATGATTCCGCATATGCACTGACGCCACTTAAGGTCGGGACACACGTTAGGTTGCAAGATTCGATCAGCAAACGCTAGGACAAGGTAGGCACCATCGTGAGCGTCGGGTACCACAGAGATTACCTGACCAAGACACCAACCGGCACAGTCTCCTGGAGAAACAGGCGCTTCCCTTCGTCCGTCACTTCAGTCCCCTCAAGCGCCATCACACGGACCGACGACTACCTCGGCATCGGAAGGAAAGGCCCCAGCGCCTCACCGTCGAGTACGATTTCAGCTCCCGCCGCCATCAGTTCTGCAACGGAGCATTCGTCAAAGGACACCAAGCCGCCTGGGCTACGACATCTAAGAACTGCTCCTCCAGCAGTCCCGAAGGGGGGGGGGGGGGGGAATGTGAGCACGCCCAGCCAGTCCGGCGGCGCAGCATGCTGTCCCTGTCATAGTATCGGCGCGTCCTCGGCCGCGCGGTGGAATGCGGCCGGTGGAACCTACCGCCGGGGGCGCTGGCCGCCGTCCCGTGGCTGACAGTACGGGACGCTTGATAGGTGCGTGTATGCAAGCTGACTTATGAGTGGTAGTTCACCCGAACTAAACGTTATGTCATGCCTGCCTGGGGTGGCAGGGACAGAACGCCACTGGACTCGGTCCAATACAGCTCTCCGCGTCGCTACACGCTGACTGAGTTGAACCGAACAGCTGGACGAAGACATCACAATATTGGTGTACAAAGTGCCCCCGAGCCTAGATACCTGTTCTAACCAAAAAGTCACTGGTGCTCATTTAAGGTCAAATGCTTTGTTGGACCTTTCTCAGGTCATGGTGGCCAAAATCATGGAAGACTGCGATGAGTTTGCATTTGAAAAAGTGTCAGAGATTGCGCTAGGCAGCATGGTTCCAAGAAACAAAACATGGGTCATTTTAGGTCAGTGACCTATTCTGAGCCTTAAGAGGTTCATGAAAGATTATAATGTGGTTCCTATTATCAATGAATTTTAAATGAGCACCAACACCCACACCCACACAGCAGGTTATAGATTAACAAAGCAGGTCGGTTTTGACCTTAGTTTCCCTTCGTACTTGACTCTAGGTCAATGGAATTTGTTCATTCAGTTGTTGTTCCGGCAAAATCTATCTCAGGGGTGTATGACTTTGTCCAACACTCCGTCGTTGCATCAGATTGAACGACCTCTTAAAAACTGCCGTCGCTGATTCCATGGTCAAGATTTGGCTTGCTGCAGGTGAGCAATCTTACAAGGTGCATCTATATCCTTGATTCCGAACGATCTGCCATTAAATTGTCTACAGCTATGCACAATTTGGAGGGGCTATGCCACGACGTTTGCAAACCATTTTGGAAAAACGCTCAGGGAAGAGGGGGGGGGGCAATTGACCCCCGCCCACCCGAGAGTGTGTTAATACGCAACACGTTGGATCAGTGCATTTTCAGAAATGTTCCGCAAATTTCGAACGCTGTTATGTAATGTATTATAGGAATCTATCTATGAACTATGCCATTCTGGCTATGAACTATCAACTACGAACTTCAAGCAATTTTATGGTCTAAATTTACGTGATTTATGTTATTTATTGTATATATTATGCGATATAATTTATGCGGTCATGAAACGTGAATGAATGTGATGCTATGTGAATGCAGTGAGCATAGAGTACGCTGCTGTTTTCCACTATGCCAGTTAGCTTTGGCACATTTCGGAGTATGATCTTTTGGGTTCCTGTGTGGTTTTGCACCGCATGGTTGTATTCACATGCCGGTCTGACAGATTATATTGTTGCTGATAGGTCTGTGTGGTATGACGCCATAATCTCTCTATAATAATGACCGTTTTCAGGCTCTATCATCTTCAAAAATTTCAGTCAGGCTCCGCTCCGGCCTCGCGGACTGAACACCGACCACGCAGGCTGAACACCGACGACGTGGGCCACACACAGACCATGCAGGCTCCACACCGACCAGACAAACTCCAAACCGACCACGCAAGCTCCACGCCGACTACCCAAGCTCTACGCCGGCCTCGCAGGCTCCACATCCGTCGTGGAGACTGCTGCTATAGCATGCACCCTCGTCGGACGTGCTCCTCAGCATTCGCAATACACTGGGTTTCATCGAAAGGGATGGATCCGGGTGGCTTAGAGTTTTTGTGCGCGGCCCCTCGGTGTCAAATCACGTCAACCGTGATTTTGGCCAGATACTGGTGTAGTGCAAACATTTACCTGTTTGTTTAAAATTCTTTCGAAATATTTCACGAAAATCATACCAGCTGGACACGCAACATAAGTCCAACACAACACACGGCACGGGATGCATGAGGTCAGCGTCCGGTGCCCAGAGGAACCGTCGCCGGTGATCCCATTGCGATACAGGCCAGATGGCCACTGACGTCATATCGGGAACATTCGGCGGCAAATGGCTGTTCCTTTGACCAGATGCGGTAAGAGAAGCCCCCCCTGGGTATGGCTATCTGCGGCCACGCCAGGCTGATCGTTACACGACGACCCGAATTTGATGCTGCCGTTGAAGGAATCCACAACAGTAACCCAATGCTGCAACATTGCACAAAGAGCTTTCCCACTGCATCAGGTTTCTTACTCTGCGGTTTACATGACGGGATAGGCCCTTCTCCGACCTTGGCGCGGGGAAGGGGGGAGGGGCGATAACTGATGATGGGCACTGTTCGCGAAGATCGGGTCGGCAACATCTCCTCCAATGATGTGTGAGCGTTGCGGTTAGCGTGGGCGTGGCTTCAGTCAGCACCGCTCCAGCCAATATAAAGCTGGTCGGCCCATGACCACAGGCATCACAGAGACCAGCGAGTTCAGCCATGAAAGTCCTGGTGAGTCATCTTCTTGCGATGCTTGCTAACGAGGTGCATCACATTATTCTGTTTAATTTTATCGGGAGAAACAGTCCCAGTCAGCAGCTTAAGGGACTGTTGCACACTTGGATATATTGAGCCGCGCATCAGACATGATACACACAACTCGCTTGTAGCTGTTCGTATGCTTTTAACTGCAAACGGCTGCTGTAGATCACAATTTCACCGATAAGGATATATGGACCTTAAAACGTTGTCATTGGGTTAAGTCATGGGACGTTTTTAGGACGCTTGAGTCGCTGTCACATCTGCCGTGTCAGAGGTGTCGCTGTAATGAACTGTGTGACTCACTTGAGATACTTGTATGAGCCACAAAGCGGCGTTGCTGATCTACATGCGGCACCTTGATAAGCAAGCATTACGTGCGGGTTTTTTGTCTTTTTCTCTTGGTTTTCTTGGATATTTTCCGTGATATAATCTTCCTTACCTGCTCTTGCCTTTTTGGCTACGGCACTTTTCTTAAGTTATTCGACACTTAGTTCCATGTTTGTCATATCTAGTCGTTGGTCCTCGTTTTTGTTTTATCTGGGAACAGGCTGCACGCGCCATGTCACGAGTGGGTCGAAGTTTCCCTGATGGGTCGAAGTTTCCCCGGCCCCGTCCGAGCGGCAGACACATGCCTGTAAAAGGGTTCCGGTACGGGCTAAATCTTGGAGTTTGGGTCCCCAGGTGCGTATGGCCCTGCCCCACCCACACCCATTCTTCTGCATCTCACAGCCCTGAAATGGCCTTTACTGGCCGAAAGGACTCTAATCCAACTAACAAAGTAACCAAAGTGGTCGAGCCATACAACTAGCAGCGCAATGTGCTAGTCAGTTGTCTCTCATCGTTTGGACATTAGGCGCTGCATAACTGGAAAACACGAAAGGTTAAACAGCCACATTGTCTTGGTCATGGGTACAGCACGGTCAATTAGGTGGGGGTTTCGCGTGACTTTCTATGAACTTGCACATGTCGGGTAAAAGTACTATAGGCGGTGGGTAACGGGGTACGCAAGTCCACGTGCATTAAGTTCGGAAGCAAGATGATTCGAAGTATTAAAAAGGGCGTGGCTGGAACAGCAGGGAATATGATGGGTAGCAAGAAGTGGGTAGCTCAGCGCAAAACCACTTACAAACTTGGAATAGTACCTTTAACAGAAGTGATTTTCAATTGCGAAGATATATCGTTAAATCCGTTCTTTTATTAGATAAATGCCACTGTTATCTGTTCGTGCGTTCCTTGCCATCTTGCAGATGACAAAACGATTTCTTTCGCTCAGGTCGGCATCGCTGACTTGAAAAAAAAATCCGTCAGGTTTTTTCGGCGATATATTTTCAGCAGCAACGTCCTATGGCATTTCTCTCTTCTTTCATTTATTTCTAAAAGCAAATATTAGGTTCAGTTTGTCTGTTTCAGGTGGTCATGTTCGTTGTCCTGGCCGTTGCGGCTGCCGGCGACGACTCGCACACCGCTGGCGAGCCGAAGGACCTGGTACGGCCGGACGCGCTCCAATACTGGATGAATTTGTTGGCCCCCTTCGCCAAGTATGCTGGTGGTTTCTTGGGAAATATCCCTGGCTACGCCCCGGGCGGTGACGACCATCAAGCCTACCGTCAAAACGCCAATTACGGCACCAGCTTTCTCTTCACTCCTGTTGTCGGCTCGTTTAGCTATCTGGACTTCCGTGGTGTGAACCAGACGGTCGATTTCTCTGTGGACGAATCTGGCTTCCGCATATTTGGCACCAACCTGGGTGTGGATCCTCCCAAGGAGGTGACCACAAGCGATGACGGCTACCGCAAGTAGCGCGGCGCTCTCTGAGCAAGCCCGCCTGTAAGACGAGGCCGCTCTTGGTAATGGCATAGTACCTGCCCTGCCAAGTACCTCCCCCTCGGCGTCCACTGCTTCCGGCGCTCCCGTCACGTTCCAGGGCACGCACGGCCCGGAGGGTGTATCTTACTCGTACAGCCCTCTTCACCCGAACCCCTCCCTTACCTTCGCCTGTTTTGGTAAGCGTTTTGTGCGCTGCTCACCTGCGAGCAAATGCAAAATCTGCGTCCCTGACTCGCTCCCAAACGTTCTGGTTGTGTTCATTGGCCGTTACACCAGAAACCTGTCGTGTTTGGTGCATTCTCTCAGCATGATGCCAGGGTGCGTGTTTATAGCTTACCGAGGTCGGTTGGAACGAGTGGTATAAAGATGTGGATCATTATGACACCATACAAAATATACTAGGCAGCAGTGGCATAGTTTATTTACTGGAGGGTTTGAGTGGGGTAGAGTGGGGATGGGAGTGCGGGGAAGGGTTGAAGAAACGCGTCCTAAGTTTTGCATGATGGGGTTGTGTCTCCTACATTTTTGCCCGTACACTGCATATTTTCACCTATTCCCACTCAAGATACCGTTTCGGATCAGGCTGTCCCCGGATTCCAGTTTGACCGTCCAATCTCAGAGAGATGGCCGCACCCATGCTCGAGAGCACGGTAATACCGCTGGTATAAATACTGAAAGAGTTTTCACTGCACATCGCGAACAGCAGCTTAGCATCTACATGTGGTGTCAAAAACGAACGGCCTTTTTGAAATCAAGGGCGGGGATGAGCCCGCGACGCGTACCATTTCAGTACCCAACACGGGATGGGTGCGACACGATCTCAACCCGACACCAAGTGACTGGGGGCAGGCCACATGTCGGTGCAGTTCTGACACAACAGTACTGGTCCTGGCGCTGTAACGGCGTCCACCAACCCGAACACGTACGCTTTAGATGGATATCGGGAGCAAAACACCACTACAACACTTTGTACAGACAACTCCACTGCAAGGGCGGTCATGACAAGAAAGGGAGATCGCTGCCGGCGAGAAACGAACGAAAGACGTCCGACTGTCGGACGTCGGACGTCGCACTCAAGAGCGATCGCACTAATTACACACACTGCCTGTCACCGTGGCTTGAATAGCCCTTAACGTTAGAGAAAAAGGACAATTACCAGAATCGCCTCGAGTGCCCGCCAAGGCCGTGGGACCCACGGCTGTACGATTCACTAACCTTTGACATGACCGTCGTCGGCATCTCTGGCCGTTTCGGCCACTCCGGTCGGAACACATGTGCGCATAAAATTCAGCGAGTTATCCACGATATACCACGTAGTTGAATGTTGATACCTATGTGGACAATGTTATGTTAGAACATCAATATGGCATCTTGCAAAGCTCAATATGTTAATTAGGATAACAAATGTGCTGTAAAACTCTAAGAAGTTCAGAGGGAGCGACCGGCACAGAACAATTACACTGCATACGACGCATGAAACACTGCAGGGGATCTGGCCAGTACAAGATTTTGGAGAGCATTTTTGAGTTCCGGACACTTTTTCCTGCTTTTCCCCTGCTGGGTGGGGGAAAATCACAAGTTCTAGTGCAATTTACACTGTTCCTTGGGTTTCGCCGTCATCGAATTGGTGTTAAAGAAGCGAGAGCTCATGAAATTCACAATAATTTTCTGGTCGCTGCTGTGGGAAAATCACTAGGTTGTGTGAGTAAACCACACACAGCGCAAGCTGGTCGGCCGCATGATGTCGGCAGGCTCCGTTCTAGTCATGTGTAGCCGATGTGTTCGATTCAGAGCAGGTGATGCTGCTCAGAGCTGAACACTGGGACGATGCTGGTGGACGGTGACATCCCAGAGGGGTCAGCGCCCGTGCTGACCTCTTGACATGGGGGGTGACGTACCGTCAGGATGAACGGACGACCCAGAGAGCAATGACATTGCAACTGGAGAGGCTTGAGTCCATCTTGAAGGGCAAAAGTGCCCTCAACCGCCGCTGCCACCATCGTTGATGAGGAACGAAAGAGGGACTTCCGACGGGGCCGAGAGATGTATTCCAAATCTCTCGTAGTTTCGCACAGAGCGTCCGTGGCAGGCGAAGGCAGTCAGCGTCAACAGCATTCTAAATGATGACTTATACGTCACACGTATAAGGAGCTCGTAACATAAATGTACATGCATAAGTCACCGTCACCATCTTGCGGCGCGTAGAAGCACTACAAGTAAGTCACGCCGCCTACTACAATGACAACTCAAATACATTTAGATACATCATACAATACATCAGTGCTGCCGTACATAAATGGATAATATTCCTCGCAAATGCACTCGAAAACTTAAGCAAATTCCGATTGTAATTACAACCGCGTGTTACAACACTGAAGGAGGAACATATGTTTTAGTGACTTGGACCTTTTCAGCACGGTCGTGTGGAGAGATAGATTGTGAGCAAGTTGTAGGCACACTCCGCTGTCTCCCAATTTTTTGAGACATCATCTTAGTTCAGTTTCCAGTATGCTTCCCGTCCTTATTGCGCAGTCTCCTCAAAGCAAAATATTAACCGCCCGCTGAAGACGTTGACTCACCATATGAGCCTCACATGGCGTCATGTAAGTGTCAAGCTGAACTTGTCCATCTTCTTTGTTTACTGGAAGAATAAGATACGTGATTCGTGGATTCTTATAACTTTTAATCTCTTGCTTATAAAAACAGCGTGCTCCAGAAATTGTTATTTCAAAACTAATACTGTACTTATGATCTTTGAGCGTAACTTCACTCTTGTCAGAGTGGCGCCTTAAAACGCTCACTTGCGGCATTGAGCATTGTAAATCATTTGGGCTCGTGTGCCGGTGCGTGTCTTGCAATATGGATTGCAAGGACCTGGTCAGTGTAGGTAAATTCGAATGCAACATTCGGCAGGTGAACTGCGTGAGTTGCGAGTAGAAGCTGGCTAAGCTGTTCAGTGCATTAGTGGGGAATTTTAGTCACGTAGATACGACAGTAGTATTAGCCTTATTCCTCGGAAAAACCAGGAAAACGGTGATATAGTTAGGTTGATATTTCGGCAATGTCTCTTTCTCGAAACAACATCAAAAGTGTCTCTGTAACTCCTACTATTGCTTCGAAAAAGACATGTTGCCAATTTATCAGTCTAACTATATCTCCATTCTCCTGTTTTTTTCCTGAGGAATGAGGCTAATACTACTGTCTTATCTAGCTAACTACATTTCTTACACTTGCGGACTGGAAGTGCCATTAATGGAACAAGAGTGCTGCTTTTGGAGCAAGATTCAGGGTGATTGATACATCCCATTAATATCTTTGCCATGCTTCATCACTCAGAAAGAGCTGATACGAGAAGCCTAAAGCTGTTTCAAGTCACAGTGCCTTCTAATATATGCCTGATATCTCGAAGTGTGAATATTTGAAAATACCCTGAAAAGTGAACTAAGGATGCTAAATTCAGGAACATTTTTGTATTCAAGCTTTGGGAATTTCGTGCGTGTGTTCTAAGTGGTCTAAATTGTATGATAAATCGTATGTTGGAGCATGCAGGGTAAAACAGAACCTTACGTTGGGGATAAGACCTGTCCCATTTTGTGCAAGATTTAGAATGTATACAGGCTTAACATCTTGCTGACATCTTTGTCATATCTTGTAGGCTGGTTGATTGCTTGAAAGCAATTTCCACTGCGAAGATTGAGTTGGTCTTTGATGAAAAGCAAGCCACAACATGTGTGGTTACCAGGTGTCTTGATTCATACAAACAATGCATTCTTTGGTAAGATTTCTTTAGGATTATATGGATACCTTGATCATAAACTAGGCAGGTATTTAAATTGTATGCCAAAATACACGCACAAAACATATTCGTAAGCGTATTAATATATTATATATATATATATATATATATATATATATATATATATATATATATATATGCCCTCAGTATACTGCGGGAGCACTGAGTACATCACACGAGGGGGTCTATCACTCACTTTTTTAGTATCCAAAGTAATAAGAAATAAATCCTTGAAAGCATTTCTCTGCTTAGTACCGTCATAGGCTTATTGACTAAGAAGAACAAATGCAGTTCAATTCCTAAAAATGGTTGCAACGGGCGGAATGAAATTGACTGTAAAATCGGCATGCTACACCTTTTAGGTCTAGCTTTCCTCTTCCGGTTGCGAATCGTCTAAACCCTCACCCTGATAGGATGGGGGGGGGAGGTGATCCAACCTTCCTAAGGTTTTCCAGGAAACCGTCTTTCAGTAGCCTATGGTGCATCCATTGCGCGTGTTTTCATACGAGAAACGTGTTTCTAGCTTTTCTGGTTTCGGAGCAGTGGCGGTTTGGAGGAACGCTGCAGAGCGATCTACGGCCTGCGCGGGCAACGGGCGGTATTCCGCGGCATCTATGGCGCGGAACGCACGCAGGGGACGGACACTGCTGCCTTAGCAGAGTCATATATGAAAAACATGTACTCAAAACACATAAAATTAAACACCATCGTACTCAAAATTGGATAAAAATCACGCCTGCTTCAGTTTTGTGCCCCTTATAGGCATGGTCTCGTAGGCATGATGAAATATGTGTGATTTTCTGGAAAATTCGACTTCAATGCAAAGGTCTATTTTTTGGACTTTAAGTTTGAACAAAACTTTCCTGATGCGCGTCGAAACTTAAAGGGATGAACATGTAACTTGTCAAGTTTTAAGAAAAGTGAAGTGGATCAGTGCTTGTTTTAAGCAGCGAAGTTGCTTATGGATTCATGACTCATAATTATGCAATGCACGTTATCGTTGCCGGTGCAGGGCTGACGGGCCACTCGGTCCCAGTGCCGGCTGTGTTCTGGCCGCCATTCTGGCGACACGGATGTCCCTTTGTCCATCCGGAGACACTTTGAAGGATGCATCATACCATCTTGTACTCCATGAACATGTGCTGAGAGGACTGTAGGCACCCGTGCAGAAAAACCAATGACATATAACAATGACAGAATGGAGCCTTTGCTACTGAAGGAGCCTTGGGTTTGCCCCTCAATAACTCTGGTAACCGTTAACGATAGAAGGACATTATGCCATTTACAACATGAGGCAATTGCACCCA